AGCTCAGTAATGAGCAAGGAGAGATCTGGTTTCCATCCTGAAGAGAGGACCAGTCACTTGTCTTCCCAGAGCCCTACCTGTGATGCCATTGTCATTTCCTTGGACTTTCATTCATCAGACAACTCTTTCTAAAAAGGAAAATAATGCTATTTCCAAATAGATTCAATTATAACAGACTTTTGTTTTAGATTCTACAAACAAGTGTTTGATTTTTAAATTTTATATGTAATATTTGATAGCATTTTCTTGGCAATTGATGTGAAGTTCACCTATTCTTTTTAATTTTTTTTTTTATTGTTATTGTAAAGGTGATGTACAGAGGGGTTACAGTTACATAAGTCAGGTAATGAGTACACTTCTTTTTTTTTTTTGCCGGTTGTGGGGCTTAAAGTCTGGGCCTGCGCACTGTCCCTCAGCTCTTCAGCTCAAGGCAAACGCCCTACCACTTGAGCCACAGTGCCACTTCCGGCCTTTTTCTGCTTATGTGGTGCTGAGGAATCGAACCCAGGGCCTCATGTATGCAAGACAAGCACTCTACCACTGTGCCATCTTCCCAGCCCGAGTACATTTCTTTTTAAGCAGTGCCACCCCTTCCCTTGCTTTCTACCAGTTTTTCCCTCTGACCCTACCTAAAAGTTACATAGTTCATTTTCAATATAGTATGGATTGAGTACCACTGCTGCATTGTTTACCCTTTGTCCTACCCATTCTGTGCCTCCCCTTAACCTCCCTAAGACAGAAGTAAAGAAAACAAAAACAGCAACAAAGAAAAAAAAAAGCCTCCCTGTTTCTATCTTTTTTGTGTGGGATCCATCATCTCCTGAGAGATTCTGGTTTTACTTTTTGACTAGCAGAGTGACCTTCAGTCACATGCTCACTTCCTGAGTTCCTTTGTCCTTATCTACCTGTGGGGTCACATTCCTCGATGAATTGTTACAACAGACATTTGTGAACTTTAAAGGACTATGTAAGGGTAGGGTAGTATGGCTATTTGTTCCCAGAGTAACCATCAGTTTTAAACTTCAGAAGCAAGAGTGTTACTCTTCATTTTATTTTTCCTCTTCCTAAGCCATACCTGCCATTTTCCCGCATTATTCAATATTATGATGTTTAAACATTGCACTCACAAGTTTTATCCAGACTAGTCAGAGTCCGATCACATGCTGTGTCTTCCTCTGTGTGGTGGGTCTTGTTCACATTCAACTAAAAGACATGTCTTTTAGTTTCCATCACAGAATTTCAAGACCTTGGAGGTGCATTTCACCTTCATTGGAGTGAGGAACACTCATGGCTAGATTTGACCAGGAAGTTTCATGGGGCTCCTGGAAGAATGGGGGTCTCTCCGCTTCTTTTTAAAGTAAATCTTTAGCAGTGCTTTTTGAGAATTTCTAAATGATTGATGGCCCTCATCAACTTGTTTAACCTTAGTTTCAATTCACCTCTTAAACAAATATGAGATTAATGGAGAATTGTGGGCTCAATATTTCAAGTCCTTTCCTTGCCCCGTAGTTTCTTGCATTTTCTTAAATGTAGAGAGGGTGAAAGACCAAATTATTCTCCCTTGGGACTCATAATCTATTTTAGGAGACAGATCTTAGGCTACAATATTAATTAGCCCAGCGTCGATGGCTCATGCCTGTATTCCTATCTACTCACAAGCTGAGATCTGAGGTTCATGGTTTCAAGCCAACCTGGTCAGGAAAAGTCCATGGGGGACTCATCTCTAATAATCTACTCAGAAAAAGCCAGCAGTGGTGCTGTGGCTCAAAGAAGCTCAAGGACAGTCCCCAGAACGGAGTGGGAATGGAGGTAGAGGGGCAAGGAATAAAAAGTAAGTAGCAGAAGCTGCCTTATAAAACTTTTGCTTTTCATCATAGCATGTTCTGGAAACTTTCTTGCTATGTAGATCATTTTAATCAGCTTTCCTTCTCTCTCTCCCCTCCCCCCCCACAACAGGAATACCATATAATTCGGATCATAAGCCTCTCTAATAAGCTTAAGCTAGATAGAACTTTCTACGTACATCTAGGTTTTTATTTTAATTAAAATCAGAGATACACAAGGGCTCCATTAATTCATAGTTATTTATTAGGTAGTACTGGGGTTTGAACTCAGGGGTTAGCTGTCTCCACCAATTGAGCCATTCCTATAGCCTGACTTTTTGCTAGTTATTTTGGAGATAGAGGCCCATGGATGTTTCTGCTCAGGCTGGCCTGGAACCAACATCCTCTGAATCTCAACCTACTGAGTAGTTATGACTACAGGTATGAACATTCAACATTTTAATCAAAATGACACAGAAGAAAAGACCCAATGACTTTAATCTTCTAAATTTACTGAAAATAATAAATTATATTCATAAAGTCCCATAAAATAGACAAATAATAAATTGTACTCATAAGTCTCATAAAATAAATTATATAAAGTTTGTAAGGTATATTAAATAGGTAGGTTTCATTAGATAGCTGATGAAGAGAACATCATGCGCTATTCAAGCAGGAGAAGTTTATTTACCGAACTGCTGCCCTCACCATGCATGGTAGAAAGGCATGACCAAAAAGGAAAGGGGTGACCCACCCAGGCCAGGACTTATCTAGGCCAGAGACAGGAAGAGGTAGGGTCAGGTGGGGGAAAGGTGTGGCCACACTGGATCTGGACATGATCTCAGAGTCTGGAACCCTCCTAAGGTCAGATGGGAGGCATGTGACCAGAGGTAGCCCAGGATGTGACCTAGCGGAAGGGGAAGGTGACTGCTTCCAGGTCTGCCAGTTACCTAAGTAACAGATACTGGGCAGAAACTTAGCCAAGAGGGAGGAAGGTGTCCCTGTGCAGACCTTACAAAGTTAATTTAAAATGGGCCCCAAGACACTATAAAGTGTTTAGCATATAAAAATACCCATACCCCTCCTTGACTTCCATTCATCTATCTGTTCATCTATATTTCCACCTATCAAGTTATTTATTGAGTAGCTATTATGTACTGAGTACTAGCTACTTGAAATGTAATATCTATATTTTTGAAATTAGTTCTGTCTATTTTTCCATCTCCTCCTGTAACTTGTTCCCTTTGTCTTCAAAGGAAATGTCTATAGGATTAGATCCTCTGATCCTACATTTGGGAAGGGATGTGACAGTTTAGTCAAAAGTTATAAAAGTTTTACTAGAGAATGGTAAATATACATGTGTGACTTGTGTTATTTAAAATACAAATCTCAATACTTCAGGAAAATAAAGGTACAGTAGAGAAGGAGGGTTTAGCAAACCCAAGTTCATAGAAGTAATTCTATAAATGCCTCCAATTAATAAAACTTTGGGTTTAAGTTTAATGTCACTTCATTTTTCTATTCTCCAAGAGGAGCACAAATGATTGTTATAAAGTGGATGTAATATCCAGGTGAGCATTTCAGACATTTCAGGAGATAGGAAGTAATTAAGTAAGATTGGAAAGCTAATCGACTAATTATGAAGTAGTGATAGTCACTGGTCTGTGTCTCAAGAAATTTGACCTAAGAAGTAAGCAGAAGTCACATAAGCCGTCTTGGGCACTTGATCTTTATTTTTATGATAAAGAGAACACTTTCTAGGTATTGTTTTTCAAACCAGAGGAGTAGCAAGATCCTGTTTGCCTCTGTGTTGTCCTCTCTATCTTTTTGAAAGATTTGAAGGAAAATAATTATGGATGATGGAAGATCAGCAGGCGTTTTAGAAATCCAAGGGATGGATACCTAAGCTGGGGGTAGAGAGAATTGTGTTACTTCCCATACCGATGTAGTGATAGAATTTGAGTTCTAGGCGTGTTTACACCATGGTCGCTGATTTCTCTTCCATGGTTAGTTGGGAAAGATGATGTCTTCACAATAGGAAAACAGTAGGCTTGGGGGAAGTTTTCATTTAAGCCTAGGTTGCAATCAAAGTCAAGATTGGTGTTTTGGTAATAATGTAACATTGTGAAGGGCTTTGATTCTGTACAGAAGGTTCATATAGATATAGATATACATATACATACGTAAAATTCAGTTGTGAGATACTGAATTTTTACATTCATTTCCTTTGCTTTTCTCTGCCCTTCCTAGTGGCATCAAAAGACACCTTGCAAAGGATGGGAAATCACACAGGGCAACCTGAAGTGTGTGGGTGTGAGTGCATGTTTGTGATGATGGTGGTGATTCATATGTAGTCTGGTAAAACTCCGAGCTCTGTCAGTCCACCAGCAACAAGACCGAACCAGAGAAAAGCAAAAAGCTTGTCAAAGTTGAATAGCATTTTCCTTGAGAGATTTCTAGGGTCTAATTACTTTGGTTCGCTTTTCGACAGTAGTCACTTTACCTCTGTCTTTGGGGCTCCTTTTCTACATAACGGAGATAGTAGTACTGATGTTACTTTTGAAGTGTTACATAGTGTTTATGTCCATAAATGAGTTACAATGTTTACTATCTTGAGAATAATTCTTGGCACTGTAATTAAGATAGATTCTCTTTTGACAACATGGAATGAGCAAGCAGCAGATAATGAACAGGGAAAAAAAGAAAGAAAAAGAAAGATTGATGAGATTACATTAAAATGACTTGCTTACTAAATTCTGAGCCTTGTAGGTGCCACTTGTGATGTAGGTGATGATTTTTGTGATTTGTTCCTCCAAGGAAGAGCATTCTGTAGTAATGATGGTGGAAGTGATGATGCCAGTGGGTGATTATTTTAACCTTCAATTTTAACATCAACCCTGCTCTCCCAATCCTCAAGAGTTGGAGGCTGCTGATAGATTAAGCAGAAGCCCTACATAGGGGTAGTGAGTAGCAGAGCTGGGTTCAGACCAGGCAGCCTGCCTCCCGGACATGAGCATTTTAGCTGCAGCTCTTGGTTGCCTCTTTCTTTGGTGTGGAAAGAGGCTTGATTTTCACTGACCATGACTGATGTTAACCTTGATGATCAGGACATGAAACTTTAGATTTGTTTAAGTGTTAGATATTGCTGATCTCTTTTTCCCCCCATTTCTCTTTTAGATACCAGTTTTTCTTGCAGGTGAAGCAAGATGTCCTTCAGGGCCGGCTGCCCTGCCCTGTGAACATTGCTGCTCAGCTGGGAGCATATGCCATCCAGTGTAGGTTTCACCTAAGCAGATTTGATTCACTAATGTGTGCAGAAAATATTTTGAAGTTTTGTATTGTTATGCAGGCTTATCTTCTAAAATGCTTCCTATCAAATGACATTTGAAGAAAAAAAAATCAGAACCCAAGTTTTGACAAGTGTTCCTACAGAAGTAAAAGTGGAGCCAGTTGTAGGTTGTATAGTTTTAGTTTTAGGACTAGAATTGATTCTTGATTCACTGGGGGCATAACAGTCTGTTCTGTTTTGTATCTCACCTTCCATCAGTGATGATACAGTCCACTACCTTGGAAGTGGCACTATAGCTCAAGTGGTAGAGCGCTAGCCTTGAGCTGAAGAGCTGAGGGACAGCGCTCAGGCCCAGAGTTCAGGCCCCACGATCGACAAAAAACCAAAAATAAAAAACAAAAACAGTCCACCAGCTTCCTGCTCCAGCTCTTCTGAAGAACCCCACGTGGCCAAGTGCCAGCACTAAGTTCACCTGGGCATACATCTGGTGCACAGTGCACTTTAGCTCTTGACATCCACATGGTGGCCACAGAGGATGGCTCTGGTTGTTCTGTCTTCTTGGAGACTGAGGCTAAGATTATTTTTTGTATGAATAATTACTGAGCATCTTTTTTTTTTTTTTTGCTGGTCCTGAACTCAAGGTTGAACACAAGGCCTATGCGTAGTATCTGAGCCTCTTTGTGCTTAAGGCTAGTGCTCTACCACTTGAGCCACAGCACCTCTTCCAGCTTTTTCTGAGTAGTTTATTGGAGATAAGAATCTTACGGACTTTCCTGCCCTGGCTAGCTTTGAACTACAGTCCTCAGATCTCAGCCTCCTGAGTAGCTACTATTACAGGTATAAGCCACCAGCACCTGGTTTATTGAGCATCTTTTAAGAATCAAGCTAAGCATGGTCTTTGTCCTTTAGAAAATTTGTAGGCCAGAAATTATATAGGAAAAAATATCCTAGGAAAAATGTCAAATAGATGAACTGGATTTGGAGCTTGGAAGGGAATTGATGCAGGGAGAACTTTTACAAGTAACATAATGAGCTTTTAAGTTTCATTCTGCTTCTTTATGTAACCTGTAATAGGTATAGGCAGCATTTTGTTAAATTTCTATGACCATTATTTGGGGATTGGATGGTTTGAACGGACATACTTTCCTTATTGCCCAAGAGGATATAAGGGTCCCCTGTACACACACATACACACAAATACTATATACATATATAAAGTGCTTATAAATATACTACTAGAATTATAACTAGAATTAGAGTGAATGTGTGTATATATACATGTGTAATTAATGTTCATATATATTTTACTTTATAAATGGTTAAAATGGTGATAATTAGGTTTTCTGGGAAAGCAGAAATATATAACATATTTCATGTCAAGATTTTGTTTGTACTATCTATCTGTGCTTATGAGAGTTGTTTTAATTTTAATAGATGTATATGTAATTTATTAGGTATTTGGAGAAAATTGCTTAAGACTGATAGAAATTACTTAATTCTTGTAATTTTAAAAGTATTTTCTAACATAGAATAAAATGATAAATTTCTTTATTTCTTTCCAGCTGAACTTGGAGATTACGACCCTTACAAGCACACTGCAGGCTATGTATCAGAGTATCGGTTTGTTCCTGATCAGAAGGAAGAACTTGAAGAAGCCATAGAAAGGATTCACAAGACTCTAATGTAGGAACCATGTCTTCTGTCAGTCAGCCTATTGACATTCATGAGAAAATTCTAGTTTGGTACATTTCCTCATCTCTGCCTTGAACATTCTAGCTTTCTTTTTATTGTCACTTTTTATTTTTAATGACTTATAACACTAAAATGCCCATCAAAACTCCAGCAATATAAATGATATAAAGGAGAAAATAAATGACAGTACCTAAAGTTATCATATTTTTGGTTACTAGCCTTTCAGACCACACTCTGATGCATAATTTCCCTTACAGAAACTGATTTTTGTATAGATTATGTGATATGGTTTTACCTAGTGGGATAATTCTGTAAGTACTGTGTACTTTCTTCCTTTTTTTCAGCCATTGTTTACCCCTCACTCCCTTTCTCTCTTTTAAACTACTCTTTTTTGGTGGTACTTGGCTTGCCATGAAAGATACTCTACTGATGAGATATGCCTCTGCCCCTTTCTTGCCCTGATTATATTTGAGATGCCCTGGTATACATTTGGACTGTGATTTGCCTATTTTAAGCTTCCTGTCCTAGTTGGATGACAAGCACACGTCACCACTTCTAACTTATATTAGATGGAGACCTGTGGACTTTCCTAGCTAAGCTGGGCTGGAACCATAGTCTACATGATCTCGGCCTCCCATGTAGCTAGGATAACAGGTGTGTGCCACCATGCCAAGTTATGGGTTGAGAAGGGGTCTTGGGTGTATGTCCCTGCTAGCCTCAAACTGTGATCTTCCTGAACTCAGCTTCTGAAGTAGCTAGAATTCCAGATATAAGCACTGGAAATCAACATTAAATATTATTTTTTAACTATAAAAATATTCCAAAATGCCTTAATTTATTCTCTATTTACTCTGTGTTATGTAAATTCTTCAGCATTTGAAACAAAGTCCTGGTCAGCAATAACAATGAAGCTGGCTACTCACTACCTTACTCATATAACTTATAGCCCCTTTGTACATCACCTTGACAATAAAATAAACAACAACAACAACAACAATGAAGCTGGAAGTCCTGATGACACTGGTATGGAGCCACTGAAGACATTATGTGAAAATCATGAGCTCTTCTGAGAGTAGATGTCCCTCCCAATTGAATGGCCTTTCATAACCTGAAGCATTGCAGATATAATTTAATTTGGAGTTATGATTAACTGTGCTTCTTATGTGACATTCTCCCTTGATTAGCTTTGGTTTCAGATTCATTAGATTCATTATATTGAAGAAACTTGTAGGATTCATGTGCTTAACAAAAATGTTGACCTAAAAGATCTCAGTGAGTAGAGGTGGAAGTCCCTTGCTGGGTGGCTCTTGCTTCTGTATTTACATGCACTATGAAGCTTTCTAGCCTGTTGAGGGGGCCCTTCAGCTGAAGGTTTCAGTGGAGAGGCCCAAAGCATTCTTGTTAAAGTATGAAAGCAGTGTGTTGGCACAATTGGAGGGAGAATATAGTCTTCTTGGAGTTTCAAAGGACTGTATTTTGAAATTACTGTGGAGCTTTCAGTAAAGGCTCTTGTTCATGTTTTTGTGGTATTGTGAGCATTGTGACTATTAAAAAAGTGTTTATATGTGTGTGTATATATATATATATATATATATATATATATATATAATGATCAATGAAGGTTTTGGTAGCTTTCTGTGTCTTAATTTTTGTTGAATATTGTTCATAGATTTAAGTAACATGCTTTTCTTTTAGTAACATGCTATTTGAACTTAGGGCCTTGCTCTTGTTAGACAAGCACATACTCTACCATTTGGGCAATACCTCCAGCCCTTCTTCAAATGTTTTAAAAGTGTGTGTAAATGACTGAAATGAGAGAATCATTGAAGCATGGTTTCTTAATTTTTTGTAAATTTATAACTCTCTTAACAATTGAGATCTGTCTCTTTCAGTCTGTTTTACTCACCCTCTTTTAATCTGTTTCTCTTTCTATCCCCTTGTCTCTGTCTGTCTATTATTCCTTCACTCTTCCTCCCCATCTTTGTCTGCCTCTCCATGTCTCTCTGTCTTTGTCTCAGTCTGTTTCTCGGTGTATCTCTTTTAATCTGTCTCTTTCTCTTGCCTTCACCCCCCCTTTCTCTCTCTCTCTCTCTCTCTCTCTGTCTGTCTGTCTCTCTGTCTCTGTCTCTCTGTCTCTCTCTCTTCCTCTTCCTTTATTGAGATTTCTTGCAGATGCCCACCTGCATTAGAAATGATGCTGTTTTCTCTATATCATCTATGGAGGTTTCTATATTCTATAATAAGAAAATGACAATTACTTTTACAATTTCGTTGTGTTAACTAGTGTGTTTCTAAACTGTAAGTTTGCTCAGGAGCTGTAGACGTGCCCTTGCTGGTTGACAGTCTTAGCTCCCTCCTCTTCCCACCACTGTGCAGCTGTACATTTCTTTCTGATGCAGATAGAGCTGCTGGTGCATGGAGACATTTTGCTCTTTGTGAAGTGGATGCTTTTTTTTTTTTTTTTTTGAATGCTTGTATCCTCAATAGCCTCTTTGGGGGTTTTTGAAATGAGAATTTTTAATATATACTGGGAATTTGGGGGCTAGACCATAGTGAACAAAAACAGACTTGGAACATGACATTGATAGAAGTATCATCTTTATACATATCATTTTGTCACCAAGAAGGCAGAGTCCTTCCTGAAATACAAAGATGTAGACTTACGTGAGTACAAAGGATTGTTTTGCAGTGAGTACAATGAAGATGGTTGCATCCCTACAAGTGCAGTAGCTGTTAGTAAAGTCAAACCCTTCGTTTTTGTGCTGATGTAGGGGGCAGGCTCCCTGTGAAGCTGAGCTGAATTACTTGAGGACGGCCAAGTCCCTAGAGATGTATGGCGTTGACCTCCATCCTGTCTATGTGAGTAACATTTAATTAAAACACAAAATATGTTAAGCTGATGACATTTTTCTTAAAAAGTCACTGGGACTCCCTGAGGAGAGTAGCAGTCCTGTTGTTTGACAAGTGGATGAGACTTTTTTCATCTGGGTTTTCCAAACACAAAGCAGCTCTTGCATGGATTAAGCCCTAATGAGGTTTGCATAAAAGTCTGTGATTATATTTCCATGTGTAGAAAACAATTAACTGGGCTTGAAAACACAATCTGGATAACAGCTCCAAAGGGCTTAGCTAAACGTCAAAACAATTTAAAATTGGTTTATAATTGATCGTGTGAGACAGAAAACAGGAGGGTTTTCCAAAAATAGGTATTATGGCTGAAAACCATAAGGAAAATAACTTGTCAGGTGAAGCCGGCATTAGGCAACAGTCCAGGTTAGCAGTGGTAGGGCTGTTAGATGGGCATGTTCTATCTGTAGGAGGCTGACTCCCACTGAAAGTATCACTGCATTAATAGAAATATTTTTTGCAGATTTTCTTCAGTGTGGCTGATGAAAACTTGCCAGAAGTGGTGATTAGTTACACTAGATCTGCATTGAGTGTTCTTCTCACCCAGGTCTTACTCTCTGAGCCATTCCTCGTAAAATGGTTTATTGTATACCAGTGAGATAGAATGCATCACTTTACATGGCATTCATGTAGTTAGTAATAGTCACATTTAGTTTTTTGAAATAATAAGTCAAGTGCCATTTTTATTTAATGGGTGGTACTGGCGCTTGAACCAAGGGCCTCTTTATCTTCCTTAGCTTTTCTGCTTCAGGTTGGCACTCTACCACTCAAGGCATACCTCTGCTTTCAGCTTTTTGCTGGTCAAGAGTTTCATGGGCTTTTCTAGGCTGGCTTCAAATTGGAATCCTCCTACCTCAGTCTAGCTCTAAGTATCTAGGATTACAGCAAGTGACTTATTCTTTATAAGAAATAAATAGCTAGAGATGAACTTTTAAAAAATCAGTTGGATTTGAGAATTCCTTAGTATTTAAGAAACCCCAGTAAAACTTTCTCTAAAGCAGACAACTCATATATTCACTTTGTAGTCTTTTTTATCATCAATATTTCCTGAAACAAGAAATCATTTTCTATTATTTTTTGAAGCATGAGAAGCATACCGGGGGGCGGGGGGCGGGGGCTGGGAAGGTGGCTCAGTGGTAGAGTGCTTGCCTTATATGCGTGAGGCCCTGGGTTTGATTCCTCAGCACCACATAAGCAGAAATAGCTGGAAGTGGTGCTGTGGCTCAAGAGGTAGAGGGCTAGCCTTGAGCTGAAGAGCTGAGGGACAGCACCCAGGCCGAGTTCAGGTCCCATGACCAACCAAAAAAAAGAAGAAGAAGCATACTAGGGCACACAGTCCATGTAGAAATGACAGTTACAGAACAGATTGGGAGAAAGTAATCATGTTAATCTCATTAGTTCATTAACTGCTTCACAGCACTACCCTTTAAGAAAACCTTTAGTGTGGTGATGTATATTTGTAATCCTAGTACTTGGGAGGTAAAGGCAAGAGGATTTCAAGTTTGAGGCCAGCTTGGACTGTTACGCAGCATGACTCTGTCACAAAACAAAATACCTCTAAAACTTTCCCCTTAGGTTTTCAGATTTTTAAAAGAACATTCCATAAGGAAAACTTATAAAGGGAGTCTTCTGAAAAATGTTTCTGCTTCTGTAATGTTTATCCTCACCCACAATCAAGTTTGTTGGTGGGTTGAAATTTATGGGAAATGACCTAGATTTGTTAGGATCTTTCATGCGTTCCTTTAAGATTGAATTTCCAGAGCTAAAAGTGGGCAACAGCTGGTATTCTTCCAATGTGTATTAGTGATCTTCTGTTCCTATGAATGTAATTTTGCAGGCTGTTAGTTCTGCACATTGTCTGGATACCTAGAACATAGGTGCTGTGGGTTAAGACTTATCATTGCCTGAAAATCAAGGTTCTTCAGTCTTTTATGAGAAGATTTTCTTTCTTTTTTTTTTTTTTCTTTATTTGGTGCCTATCCTGGGGCTTGAACTCAGAGTCTGGGTGCTGTCCTCAAGTTTCTTTTGCTCAAGGCTAGCACTCTACCAGTTGAACCACAGCTCTACTTCTGAGGTTTTGAGAGTTTATTGGAGATAAGAGTCTCACAGACTTTCCTGCCTGGGCTGGCTTTGAACCATAATCCTCAGATCTCAGCCTCTTGAGTAGTTAGGATTACAGGCTTGAACCACAAGTGCCTACCAGTACCACCTGAACTGCAGTGAAGAGTTTCTATTTTTTAATTTTTTTGAGCAAAGTTACAAGGGAAGAAAGGAGTATGGTGTGTGTCTGCTGTTGGCTGCCTGAACTTGTTGGTGAATTGGTTCTCAAGATTGTCTATATCAGAGAGAAAAATGAAGATAAGCCATTTGAAAGCACCCTGGATAGAAGCCCATGTTTCAAGCCTTGGCTGTAGGAAGCCATTTGGAGCTCATTTGGAGCTTCTGTGTATTTTGGAAGCTCTAGACCCTGCCTGGGGATTGTGAGTTATTGGTGTGGTTGCCCGGGTCATCAGTATTTTAAGCTGCAGGGGATTCTGGTTAATGTTTAGCGAGGGTCAGGTATCACTATGGAAGCAGCTGGGGCTACCTCAGTTAGTGGTTTGGTGGAATGCCCCAGATCCTTTGTACTGACACTGGGGCTTGAACTCAGGGCCTGGGCACTCTCTCTTAGCCTTTTCTCTTAAGAGGAGCCACACCTCTACTTCTGGCTTTTTTTTTTGCAGTTAATTGGAGATAAAAGACTCCTCACACACTTTTCTGCCCTGGCTTACTTGAAACTTCAATCTTCAGAAGTCAGCCTCCTGAGTAGCTAGGATTATAGGTGTGAACCACTGGTGCCCAGCTTCCCTGGTCCTTTTAATGAGCTAAAGTTATAAGTATGAATTAACACTAAGGTAACAAAGTCCTCTCAAGAACTTCAAGGAAAAAGAAAAGAGCATCAAATTACCTAGTATTATAGCTTAGCTGGCTTTTTGGACCAAAACATTTCAGAAATGAAATCCAACATTAATCCTGTAAGTAGTATTTATATGATCAATTATAGTGTTTAATGAACTTTTATTCGAATAAATTCATGGTTTTGAGCCTATGGTTTTTTTTTTTTTCAGGGAGAAAACAAGTCTGAGTATTTCTTGGGATTAACTCCAGTTGGTGTTGTTGTCTATAAGAACAAGAAGCAAGTGGGGAAGTATTTCTGGTAAGTGACCAGAGGACACAGTCAGAAGTTAACCACTGCATGTCTCAGTCTTATAGGATGCTTGTGTCCTTGAAAGGGTGGGCACCTGACCAATACGTGGTAAATAAATATGTGAGTGTGGGTGTGACCTTTTTCTTCTACGGCACCTTAGTAAATAATCTCTCCAAATTTCAGGCACTGAGGTTCTAGGCTCTGGGGAAACTCTGGTAGGATTTCCCACCCGCTCTGATGAGTGCTGGTGGGCTGTGGATCCAGAACAACTCTGAATTTTGGCTTTGATTTACCAATGAATGGAGGAGCTGGAGGATCCTAAGGGCCTGGCTGTCTTGGGAAAATGGCACTGTTAGGCCTGGGGGTGCCAAGTTGCTGTGTGCATATAGTAGAGAAGTGGAGATAGGATGATGGGAATGGAGCAAAGGACTTGCGTGGAAAACTCTATAAGTCACTACAGAAGTATATAAAGTCAGTCACCAACCTTTTTGTCTACTGGATACTTCTCTGAATTTCTGAAAGATGAAGTCTTTAAAACCACAACTGCTTTGTTTTTTTTCAGGCCTCGGATCACAAAGGTTCACTTTAAGGAGACTCAGTTTGAACTCCGGGTACTGGGAAAAGATGTAAGTTTTTGTGAACACTTAGCTTAAATACAAAGGCAAGAAAGGGTCTTATCTGATATTTATAACCTAAAAGACATTGGGAGACAAAACTACGGGGTTTTCTTCCTGGGGAAACATGTTAATGAACTCAGTGTATACAACTTCTACAAGAAAGGGAAAGGGAAAGAAGTAGTAAAGAATAAGATGGGGAAATGTCATTTTGGTTTTAGCAAAAGGAAGCAGAACCTTTCTAGGGCAGAGGAGAGACTAGGAGGTTTTTTTTTTTTTATCATTATTACTGTAATTTGCTAGTCAGTGCTGTCTGTGAGGGGAGGATTCATATAATCTGAAAGGTGTAGCCTGCACACAGGATGAAAAATTGTGTCCTACCTTTTCTGAAGTAAATTTAACATTCTGATTGGACTCACATGTCTGCTTGCTCCTTGTTGAGCTTGATAGACAAACCAAACAGAAACTGGCCACTTTGGAGGGAGACCATGAGTTGAGGTATGGAAATGTGGACTTCTGCTGCCTCTGGGCAGTGTGGAGACAGCATAAAGGGTGTTAGAGGCAAGTGTACTTTTACAGCTTCACAGGTGTACTCTAGGATACTAATTGAAGAAGGCAAAGATGAGAAAGCTTCCTCTTAAACTAACCTATAGAAACCATGCTCTCAGAAGATGCTATTAGTCCTGTCCTTAGGGGAAAATGTGATTCAAGGAATCTGTTTTTCTATCTCTTTTGATAGTAATTCCATGCTGAACAAAAACTAAGCACAACTGGAATTGAACTGGCTTTCTTAAAGTTAAAAAGGATTTACACAGAAATCAGCTCTTTCATGTCCACACATGGGCACAGGAATAAGATAGCAGCTGTAAGACTGGGACATAGTGTTTGACAGAGTACCTCAGAGGTAGTGGGTACTCAGTAATACCACTTAAATGATTAATGGCCTAATTATTGGCAGTAAGTACTGCTAAATCTGAAAATCAGGTACTATTTATTCTTCTAGGAAAAAAAGTAAACTGTTTTCCTACTAATGCTAGTGTTTGTTGATAAAATTAAAGTTGGATTTGGAATTAATTTGAACTTGGAGGTAAACTTTCATATGTTTAAAGAACTGATGGTCCAGAAATCACATAGTATATATTTTTGGTATTGAAATTTAAACTCTGGGCCTCATACTTAATAGGCAGGTAATCTCTTTCTTGTGCCACAACCCTAGCCTGTTCTAGTGTTATATTTTGAATAGGGTCTCATGCTTTATTGTCTAGGGCCAGCCTCAGATTGTGATTCACTTATCTACACCTTCTCTGTAATGGATCACCACACATGGTTTGTTTGTTGGAATGGGAATCTCACATTTTGCCTGTGTGGCCTCAAACTATGAACCCTCCCACCTTCATCTCCCAAGTAGCTGGTATTATAGGGTTGTAATACTGTATTCAGCACACATAATAGTTATTAGAGATCTAGTTTGAAGAAAGTACATTATGTTCTTCAACTTCTGATTAGACTTGTCAATCTGAAAAGTTGTACTAATGTCTGACTGCTTTAAAAGCATTTAAAAAGTGAATAGCTAGTGATTTTTTTTCCTATCTGTAATTTCTTCCTTTCTGTAGTTTTCTTTCTATCCTACCACTGAGGTCATATGACTTAAAAATATAAGGAATAGAATCTGTTAAAAAGTATATGGCATTTTCAAGGGTTTTTAAAGCATATAATAATAAGAAATAAGGCTTCTCATGGAGGCATTATTAAAGTACTCTCTCACCTTATACTTAGGTTAATTTTGTGAGTGAGGTCCTTTGATGAGCTGCATTTATTCAGTTTGTTTGTTTATTTATTTATAGACAGTGTCTTGCTCTGGAGTCAAGGGTAGCTTCAAACTTTTCATCTTCTTGACTCAGTCTATGAGTACTAGGATTATAGGTATATGTCACTATGTTTAGCTTTGGTGAATTACTTTCATATTACTATTTTATTGATTTAAAATGTCTTTTCCTGCCCAGATTCAGTGGCTCACATCTGAAATCCCAGATACTTGGTAGGCAGAGATTGGGAGAATTCTGGTTTGAGGCTGGCCCAGGCAAAAAGTTAGCAAGACACCCCCCCACCCCATCTCAGTCAATAAGTTGGGCATGATAGTGTGTGTCTGTTGTGCCAGGTATGCTGGGTGTATAATTTGAGGCTGACCTTGGAAAAATGCAAGATCCTACTTGAAAAATAACTAATGTGGAAAAAAAAAGGAGTTAGAATTGTACACAGCGCAAGTGATAAAGCCCCTGCTAGGCAAGCATGCGGCTCCATCTTCAAAAATATATACTGAACTATATAGCACATGATTTCTCTATATATGAATATGTATACAGAATATGTATACATATGATATAATATGTGTAATATGTGTGCAGTACTGCCAAAATAAAATGAATAAAATGTCTTCCACTGTCCCAAGGAAAGTATTTGGTAACGTCAGAGTTAATCTGAGCTTCCAGCATCTTAGACTTCTTAAGTAAAACATAACAGCAACAAAACCAATATCATTATATTACTTTTCATTGACCATCTCCACCACAATAGAACCAGTTTCCTCATTCAGCTTTGACATTGGCTGGGTATGTGGAGAGGCCAAGGTATGGCTCCCCCCTCCCCCCCCCGCCTCCGGGTCATTAAAATTCACTCTCTGAAATCATTAGTGATGTGGCCCAGCAGGCCACTGAACATGAGGCTTGAATCAAAAGGATTTTTTTAAAAAATTATTAAATAGCATATTAATTTAATCCAAAACATGGTATTTCTAGAGTATTCTTGCTTGCAGAGCTTTTTTCTTTCCTTCTTTCTCGATCAGGGTCTCCCTTTGTGAAGCAGGATTTACATAATGTAGAATCAAGTTGATTATTATGGAGGCCTAACTGTAATCACAGATTGAATTTAAAAGCCCTTTCAAATCCATCACCTGGAACAGTAATCATATTCAGCTTGAAGGGTGGTTCAAGTGCTTGTTCTGCTGCTATTCTGGTATGCTGGCTTGGTAAAGAGACTGAACTCCATTCCCTTAGTGCTTTCTGGCCAAAGTTAGAGACTGAAGTCTATGTATTATTTACATTTCAAAATAGGCATTGTGCTTTAAATAACACCTTGCAGAAATATGAATTTGGGGTACAGATATTTTACATGATCATAGTAGAAAATCTAAAAAACAAACTATTGTAAGAATCCTTCCAACCATCCCAGGGGACCACACAGATGCAGGCAGGCACAGGAAAAAGCTTATTATAAGGTTTATTAGAGGGGCCACAGCATCCTGGGAGAGGGAGCCCATGGCATCTGCTCCTATCCAGGTGGCAGGCAGGCCTGGGGGAGGAAGTGAGGGTAGAAGTGAGGTAAGTGCATGCAAGATAGGTCTGGGCAGAGAGAGGGAGCGGACAGCTGTGTGGTGGGAACTCTAGGGCAGGCAGGAGCTCAGGTCTGGGTGGAGCTGAGGACCAAAGGTGGGGATAATAGTAACAATATGAAGAAAATTAATATTTCTATTATCCTAATATTCAGAAATAGTGGATATTATTAATACATTGTTATTACTATTGCTTCCATTAATATTGAATACCTCATTTGTGTATATATTCATATATTGATATGTCATGCCCTATATGGTTTGGTACATTTTTTTAGTTTAATTTTATTGTCAAGGTGATTTACAGAGGGGTTACAGTTACACACATAAGGTAGTGAGTACATTACTTGTCAAACTTGTTAACACCTCCCTCATTTTTCTCCAACTTCCCTCCCATCACTCCCCCCACCAAGTTGTACAGTTCATTCCAACATATTGTCTTGTGAGTATTCTTGTTGCATTGGTTCATCCTTTGTTCTTGGTCTCACCATTTGAATGTTTTATTCTTAGTACTATACCTTAAGAATTTTCTTCTCATTTTATCTATTTTGTATGTGCCTGTTTGGTATTTGATAAGTTTTATTTTCATTTTTTTTCTTTTGCTATTGAAGATGCAATCTTCTGTTCTGTCATATGTAGCCTAGGTGAGCCTCAAACTCACAGTTCTACTGCCTTATCTTCTACCTGCTGGGGTTATAGGCACGTACCAACACACGTAGCTTCTGATTTTGGCTAGAAGTAAAAGCTGTGAAATATTGTTAAGTTTATCTCAGATCTGGCCATTTTGCCCAATTCCTGTGTTCTAGACAAGAGTTTTTAAATTTGGTTCTCATAAACTTCCATAGCAATATAATAATATCATTTTCAAGTGAAAATAATTTATTCCTCTGCTATGTAAATTTCACATTTATTGTTATTATTAACACTCTAGAAGTAATGATTTACATATAGAAGTCATCCTTGGTGATGGTAGTGATTCTGTCTTTACTCTGTGATTTGTTTAGTTATTTTATTTTGAACTCAAGGCTTCATGCTCTTAACCAAGCACTGACCCACTTGAGCCATGGCCCCAGCCCTTTGGCTTTAGACATACTTCAGATATCTTCCTTTTTTTTTTTTTTTGTCTTGGATTGATCCTCCTACCTCCTGCTTAGCTAGAATTCTAGATATGGTGTACCAGGCTTGCCTTATTTGTTGAGATAAGCTCTATGCTAACTTTTTGTACAGGCTGGTCTTGAACTCAGTCCTCCTTATTTCCTGTAATTTTGAGCCACAGCACCCAGTCTTTAGTCTTCAATCTTTAATGAAGGCCTGCCCCCCCAAAAAAGAGGCTGTTTCTTAACAGGGTAGTAACAAAGTACTAAAAAGTTCTTGGATTCTATACTTAGCCACCAGGGTTTTCTGGCTGTGGGGAGGTAGGGGAAAGAGTCCTGGTGACTGAAAGGTGCTTGATCTGCAAGGTCCAAGAGTCCTGCTGTGAGTTTGTTGAAGTTAAAATGTCTCTGAGACATCTAAGTGGAGAAATGATCAGAAGTTGCCTTATAAGTCCAGACTTCAGGACCAAGTTCTGAGCAGAATATACATGTTTGAGAATCATTAGTGTGTATGGGTACTTGAAGTCACA